TTTCTTTCTTTCTTTCTTTCTTTCTTTCTTTCTTTCTTTCTTTCTTTTTTTCCTTCCTTCCTTCCTTCCTTCCTTCCTTCCTTCCTTCCTTCCTTCCTTCCTTCCTTCCTTCCGAAGCATTAGGCTGATTTTCAAACATGCCATAGGCTAAGTGATGAAAGATGAGGAAAGGCTGAAATGGATTTTTATGTATCTCTTTAAAATATCATTTTCTTCCAGTCACTGATTGTTTTATTGAGTATTTAATTACAAACCACCTTGAGTCTCTCTTTGATTTGGTGGCTTTACCAGATAGCGTCATCCTCATCTAAGACAGGTTTTGAGATCTGTTTGTAGTCCAGGCATTTTTAGAAATAACAATGAGCCAGAAATTGTTTTAAAATTGAAATTGCTTTACTCTATTGTAAGTTTCATTCACAATTTCATTCACAAACACATATGTGTGCATGTGTATGTAAATACACACACACACACACACGTATATATATCTGTAAGCCAACAAATAGCCTAATCTATAGATAGGCTAATGGACTGATATAAAGTAAAACAGTTTCATATGAACAGGAGTAATATTTAGCACCACTCTAAAAACACAGAGCAGGAGCCTTTAGCATTAAACGACACAAGTGATGAAGCCAGAATATGTACAGATAGTCCTCGAGTTAAAAACAAAATTGAGCTCAACGTTTAGGTTGCTAAGTGAGATATTTGTTAAGGGAGTTTTGCCCCATTTTACGACATTTCTTGCTACAGTTGTTAGGTGAATCACTGCAGTTGTTAAGTGAATCTGGCTTCCCCATTGACTTTGCTTGTCAGAAGTTCTCAAAAATGATCACATGAGCCCCCGGGACACTGCAACCCATGAAAAATATGAGTCAGTTGCCAAGCGTCTGAATTTTGATCCCATGACCATGAAGATGCTGCAATGGTCATGTGAAAAAAAATGGTTATAAGTCATTTTTTTCGGTGACATTGCAACGGTCAATAAATGAACTGTTAGAACTCGAGATTAACTTGTATAACATTCAGCTAAAATGAGGCTACAATTTTTTATTCATTCAGTAATCTAATAGAATTCTACATTCATTGAAAGATTAGATGGATCCCATGATATTCAAAAAACAGAGTAGTATAATAATAAGAGCACTGTATTTTTCTTCTACCGTAATAACAATAGATAGTTGCAGAGTCTCTGTTTCTGACAACATTGGCTAAATATGAAATGTGCACACATCTACTGGCATTAGATAAAGTGCCCATTAGAGTACTTGTGTCATGCCCCTGTCGGAATCTGATTCCGAGGGGGAGGCCGAGCAGCTGACAGGGAGTGGGAGTGTGACTCCATTGGCTGTGGAAGAAACTGGGGAAGGGCAAAGTCCGGCTGGGCAGAGCAGGGGAGAGGTAGAGCAAGGCAGAGGGAATTCAGAGGAAGATCCAGGCCCACCCCCTCTTCATCCTAGGGCACACAGGGAGGAACAGAGAAGGGAGCAATGTGAGTTGCGTGGCTTGCGGGGGAGGAAAGTGTTAAGTCGTGGGAATGAGACTCAGGACACCAGCATGACTGTCAATTGTTTTATTTCCTTCTAGGACTGAACTGCGGAGAAACTGCGGCAGCCCTTTTTATAGTTGGACTGCTCATGGCTGTGACCAGTGACAGCTCTTCAATTTTCCCGCCGCCACGGACCGACCAATTACAGGTAAGTATGTTAATACATAACAGAAAGGGCCCTGATTCCCTTCATTAGCTGCAGCTGGGAACATAGTGTTTAAAAAGGGAGTTTGCACATAGCAACTTGTTGGAAACACTTGTCGAGACTTATTTGGGTTCCTGGCGTCTTTCCAACTGTGTGTGTTTTGCTGGCCTTTGAAGTCTGCAATTCCTTATCCTGCCCTGTCCAGTTAATTGCTGCAGCGTGGTTTGTGTGGATTTTTACTTACAGTTTATATGTACTTTGTTTTCAGACTGAATTTCCTCCACTTAAAGACTGTTCTTGGGAGAGTTTTTTCTCCACCCGAAGGTAACTGGACATTGGGGGCAAAATTGGAGGTATTAAAGGGACTTTTCTTACATATGTGACTGTGTTGCCTTTGTGCCATGCCTCAGGTCATCACAACGTGTCTATCCAGTACTAGCTATTGATTTTCCTGGGATCAGATATAAAACAATAATTGTTCAGCTGTGTGAAATATAAGCATTTTAATGCTAACATTATTTGCAAAGGCTGTGTAACTTCCAACTGCCCTTTGTCCTTAAGGAAATGTAAAAATATCCATCAGATATGGTGGAAGTTTAACTTCTTGAATTGCAACATTTACTTGTTAAATTTTTGTAGTTATCAAGATAAGCAAATGATTGCACATAACTCCAAATACCTTCACTTAAACATTGTCAAACAGAAATAAGAATTGTCTGGTTTTATATTTACCAGGACATAGCTTGTTTTCCCAAAGAAGATTCATAAAGTTATCCAGGTTTGTGAAATTGTAGTGAAGTGTCCCATTTATCATCCTGAAAAAGAAATTGCAGACCTTTGACACCTGTTTGAATTGAAAGTTCCTCCTTCTCGCCCTCCCAAGTATAATTTCACAAACTTTTCATCAATAAGATAAAGGAGCAGCAAATTACTAATTTACAATAGAGTCTATGCAACTGTATACACCAGAATAACTTTCCATATGAATACATCAGCTAGCTGAATGGACTTCAGCAGAAAAAGATGAAATGGAGAATTAAAAGAATCCCCATACACTAGCCTTCTTTAACTTGGTGCATCCAAAGATATTCAATTATAATTCTAGAATTTGAAGCCAGCATGCAGAAGGCTGAGAGAGAGGGGGGTGGGGAAGAGGGAGGAAGGGAGTGGGGGAGAGAGAGAGCTTTCTATATGCTAACTGCAAACAAAATGAGAAGTTACCATATGTACATACGCATAGATTATTTGGGAAATTTAATTTCTAATATTGTTTCCTTTCTATAAAAAAAATCTCATTACTAAATTGCCTTTTATGATACAAGGACTTAAGGTATTTTTTTTTCTTATTTAAGGAAAACAAAAGTTGTTGGAGTTATACAAACCCCTAGATTTCATGAAAGCATTCAGACTTTGATGACTTGTATGCTGGAATCATTTTTGGTTGCCCCATTAAGCAAATATGTTTAGTTCATATTCTACGGTAAAATGCATCTTTACAATAGATAATTTAGATTGGTTAACTGCATACAAGCCATGTGCTGGGTTAAACAGCATTAAACTTCTTACATGTAAACAAATATTGTAATTTGTATCAGTTGAATTCATCTCTAAGTGACATGCAGACCACAAAGTAAATGTATTATATTGCAGAAATGTTAAACATTTCTTCAGACTACATAGTAACACAGGTAATATACTGTGAAAAAAATATCTTTACTATCTTTATCCCAAAAATAACCAAATATTTAAAATTTGCATATGGATGTCGCTAAAACATTGTTCTCTAGATATGTGAGCAGTAATGAGATGGACCCTCACTCAATCATGATTGAAATAAACCACTGAAATCAGTAGTGTGAGTTAATCATGACTAGCTGAATCTAAGTTTGGATCAAATTAAATTATCATCATATAGTATATTTGAAATATACACATGAAACTGGTTCACACATGACACAGCTCATTTATAATAGAACTCAAGGTGTTCTGGACCGATGGCAATACCTTTGTATATTAAAGAAACCCACAAGTTATATAACAGTGATATATACATGGCAGGAGGAGGAGGAGGAGGAGGAGGAGGTGATGATCTTGACCTTCTAAGGAGACTTTTATCTTGTATTTGGCCAAGCTCTCCAGGACCAAGGACAGCTCTATAAAGAAAGATAAACATTCCAACCAACCTACAGCTAGCTGCTGGCTGAATGTGTGACCCCCTCAAAAATTATTACAATAAGCAACAGCAAGACTTCAATGTTTCCAGCCAGCTTTTATCAGTCTAATTAGAAAACTCTCATGTACTGAAAAACAGAAATTCCAGATTCTGGTAGGTTGAACTTTGGTTCTTCAAACTCACTCCTCCGGGTTTTGCTCTATGCTTTCTGTCATTCCTGCTTAATCTTTTGTGAAATCAGAAGGTGCCTTAAGTAGAATCAAGCCTGAGGCTTCAGGCTTTGGAAAAAGTGGAAGAGGAAGAAGCCTGATGAGTAAGGGAACAGTAGAGGGATATTTTTGCTCCAACTGTATTGCAGTCCTAAGAGCCTAGAATTTTAATGTAATCCCACTCCAATATCAAGTCTGATATTTAATTTGAAAGCAAAAGGAGCAGAAGGAGAAACTTCAGAAGCTAGCTCCTAAGGAAACAACTTCCAACTGTTTAGCAATGCTTAGGAATAGCGAGTCTGACCTCCACATTTCATTTGAAGCAGCAGAAGGAAGCTGTGTGTGTATCTTGGCTGCTCTTTCTCCTTCATCCAACAAAATCCCTCCAACGGGTTTCTCAGCACTGAAAACTAATAATTCTGCAAACGGCCACTGCAAAATGCCTATGAATAAGCAAGGCACACATAAAGATTCAGAACTGAGAGTGGACAAAGAGAGCTTTCTATCTGATCAAAATAATGCGGCCTGCTATTTCCTGTTTCTCAGCCAGCCTAGCCCAGCTACCTAATTCTCCATGCTTTCCTCGGCAACGGGGACAGAGCGAGAGGGAGGGAAAAGAAGAGACATGAAAATCAAAGAGCCTTACAGCTCCTTGCCTGATGGAGGTATGTTTCTATATTAACCTTCAGTATTTTTACTGTAACTCAGTATTATTCATTCTGGCATTCTAAGGAGGGGGGGGAAAACCAATAGCAGAACTGAAGCAAAACAGAACTGTCTCAACAAGATTTTTTAATCAGGAAACAAGCTTGAAATGACTATATCCATACTATCATTTTGTTGATACATTTCTGAATTCAACCTCGAGCTACGAAAGCTGAAATATGGCAGCAGAGTGTTATCTTTTGATGATTATTTTTGTTGTTTTTACTAATGCTTTAATTACAGCTTGATTGCATGTCTCTTTCTTACTGGACTGTAAATCACAGTGAGTCAGTTTGAATTCGGCACTCTATAAAGATAACTTAAGTTCTGCTTTAAATATGAAATACAAATAAGCATTCAATAGCTCTGCTTTTTAAAACACTTCTTCCCAGTATGAGAATGAATACTCAAATGCTTATTGCTATTCAGCTATAATACAACAGGTATTGGGCAGCCAACTTCCACCAGAAATGGAAGTGTTAAAATTTTCTTTGCAATATACCCTTTGGTCTAAGAAAAGAAAGTCCCTAGGTAGGGAGAAAAGAATTGCAGAAATTAACCTTTAATGGTTAGCCCACAGTGGACAAGCGACATTATTTTGTTCTTAGTTAGCAAGGCATTATATTACTACATTATTACAGTTTGAACCAGTGACTCAACCCTATTCTTGGTTAAAAATCAATGATGAAATAACGGTTTCACAAATTTAAAATTAATCATTGTCAGGTTACATGTTATTTGGATGCAATACGACATTGGAAATGGCACCAAAGTTCTAAATTCCAGCAACAAAAAGTCATATGGTACATAAGAGTAACTTTTTAAGGGATAAAGCAATATAAATTCATTAATCAACAAACTGACTCAAAAACTACAGCCAGAGGTAGTTCTGGATATTTCACTACAAAAGTTTTTTAGGGTGATGAAAGGAACCATTCCTATGACTAGATGCATTTTCTATCATGGAAATGGAAAAGGCAAAGTAGATTTCTTCCTTGTTTTTGTTTTTTTAACATGGCTTTCTTTTTATAAAAGATTCTATTGCAGTTTCACCCAAACCATAATTTCTGACATTTTGCAAAATATAAGTTATGAGAAATTGCTTGATATGACATTAAGATGAGTTGAAGAATTTGGAATGTGAAAGCGGGATTTTAATTATTTAGGATGCAAAGTGTGTTGCCCTTTTTTAATGTGTAAAATTATTTTTATTGATCCAAATTTACATTTCTTGCCTCACACAGCACTATTTGTAAAGCAAACTAAGCCCAACCCTTTATTTAGTGAGATTCTGCAGTAGAAGTGGAAAAACGGCAGCATCTGGGTTTTACATAGATACCATTTACATTGACCACGGCGGAACAAACTATTTGGCATAGTTTACATAACATAGCCAAGAAATGGAAATCCACAGATTGAATCTTGCCAAAAGTGCTTCATAGGGTTGTTTTATTCCTAGCAGAATTGTTCTTTGTTTATGGTTAGGCAGCACTGGAAGAGATTGATTCTCAACCCCAAATAATGTCATATAGGTGGCATGTTTTAAATTCCTAATTTTGCTTCTGTGGATAGAATAGAAGGCAAGCCAGATCTGTTTACTACAAGAAAAAACATCTGCAGGTCTAGACTGGGATCACAACTTTATTTTGCTTGTGGTGGGCATTCTAATATTTAACACATTCAAACTGATCTCCCTCTATGAATCCACAAAGGGTGTCTTGAGGTGCTGTAGGTTTCCCAAGCCACCTTCTGTCACCCCCCCCCTTCCTTGATCACATTCTGGAGATCTGATGCCAGATGGAGATCATCCAAGGGTCTTTCCACCTTTTCATCTCTTATGCAGATGATTGATCACATGGTCCATTGTATGAAGGCCACGCTCTGATTAAATTTCTCATAGTCTTCTTTGAGGGCTCCAGTGTTTTGAGATTACCCGGCAGAATCCTCTTAAGTGTTCTTCTCTTAGCAAAGGAGGGAGGCACCACGAGTTTCTGTACCTGGAAAGAACAGGGATGGATCCTCTATAAGCTATAGAGGTTTCCAGAAGATAATTGGGGCTTACAGCTGATAACTTGGAATGTGTAACATTGATCAAGTTCTCTGGGAGCACAGAATGTAGGAAGTAGCAAGTAAAGTGGGAAGGTGGATATGTTGTTGGATACCTTTCCTGCTAGCAAGTTATTATTTATTTTTGTCAATTGCTTACCAAATAATAGGTATAAGTAAAAACATAGTTATGATTACATGGAAACATGTAAGAATAATAAAAAATAAAAATAAAATAAACAATAGGACGGACGGTGGGCACGTTGGTGTGCTTATGCACGCCCCCTACAGACCTCTTAGGAAAGGGGTGAGGTCAATAGTAGAAGGTTTAAGGTTAAAGTTTTTGGGGTTTGGGGAAGAAACCACAGAGTCAGGTAGAGTATTCCAGACATTGACCACTCTGTTGCTGAAGTTGTATTTCCTGCAATCAAGTTTGTATCTATTGTTTGCTCTTGTGTTGTTATGGTTGAAGCTGAAGTATTCATTGACAGGTAGGACATTGCAATGTATGATTTTATATACTATACTTAGATCGGACCGAAGGCAGCATAGTTCTAGGTTTTCTAGGTCTAGAATTTCGAGTCTGGTGGCATAAGGTATTCTACAACGAGTAGAGGAGTGGAGAACTCTTCTTGTGAAATATTTCTGGACTTTCTCAACTGTGTTAATATCAGATACGTAA